CAGGAAGTACAATAAGCTTATGCTTACCAAATGTACTACCATCTGAATACTGAAAATACAATTCAAAGAAGATTGTCACCACTACAACAGCAAATGGAAATAAGGTAGTATATAGCAAGTATGCTACGTAATTACCTTTTCTAATTTTCTTTAGAGATGTATTTGTTAATACAATATATATATATCAAACACATTTGGATGTGATATTTTATTAGGACAAAATTCACTAATAAAATACGCACCATTTACACAATATATTAATAAGTATATGTTCACAACACCCTGTGCACATAAAATATTTAGACCAAAAATAAATAAAGCTGTTACAATTGTATATAGAGACATAAACTATCAGAGTTCCTCAACCCAACGTGGTGGATGTTGGAGTACAGAAAAATTTAAACCAGTTACAGTTCTAAAAATGACAAAAGAAAATAGGTTAGAACAATTGAAAAAAGAAATTTCTAAAACATATTCTGAAAATTCATTAGAAAAATGAAATACAGATAAAGTAAAGACAAAAATAGAATTAACCAATCCAGACACTATTGTTAGAGTCAAACCCATGAAATATAGTGTAGATGACCAAAAGGAATTTAAATACCAGATAAAAAAATTGTTAGAAGTCAAATTAATTAGGCCTAGTAAAAGTCCACATAGTAGCCCAGCCTTTATGGTTAGAAAACATAGTGAGATAAAAAGAGGAAAAGTCAGAATGGTGATAAATTATAAAAAATTAAATGAAGTTACCAAATTTGATGGATATTACTTGCCAAATAAGGACACCCTTATAAAACAAGTACAGAACAAAAAGAAATTTTCAAAAATTGATTGTAAGTCAGGATTTTGGCAAATCATGCTTACAGAAGAAAATAAACCACTAACTGCATTTAGTACCCCCAATCCTTTAGGACAATACGAATGGAATGTAATGTCATTTGGGTTGAAAAATGCACCACAGATATTCCAAAGAAGAATGGATGAGGTAATCAAACCAGTTACTCATTTTTGTATTGCATATGTTGATGATTTACTTATTCATTCAAATAACATAGATGAATATATTGAACATCTTGAGAAATTTTGTTATATTATGAAAAAACATGGTATTACACTTTCTCAAAAGGAAGCTGAGATAGCTAAAACAGAAATAAAATTTTTAGGATTATTTATAAAAGAATGTGAATTGCAATTGCAATCCCATATTGGAGAAAAAATTCAAGAATTTCCTGAAAAAATTAAAGATAAAAAATAATTACAAAGCTTTCTCGGTATATTGAATTATATTGAAGGATTCATTGAAAATTGTGCCAAATTAAAAAATTATTTTCTTCCAAAGTTAAGAAAAAATATAATGTGGTTTTGGGAAGAACAAGATTGTGAAAATATAAGGAAAGTCCAAGAAGAATTAAAGGTATTGCTCAAACTTGTAATACCACAAGAACAAGATTTCTTTATCCTTGAAACTGATGCTTCAGATAATTACTGGGGAGCAGTATTAAAGGTTAAAAGAATCATAAAGAATATAAATGTGAAAAGAATTGTTCTTGTCCTGAAATACTTGCAAGTTATACATCAGGAACGTTCAAAGAGATTGAAACAAGATATGAAACGAACAGGAAAGAACTCATTGCTGTAAAAAGAGGAGTTCAAAAATATGAAGATTATTTATTACCAAAAAAATTCTTGATTAGAACTGATAATACTCAAGTTAAAGCCTTTTAAAAAAATAATGTTGATCCATCTATTGCCAATAGATATATTATTAGGATACAAATTTGGTTTTCATATTTCAAATTTGATATTGAATACATAAAAGGTAAAACTAACTTTCTTCCGAATTATCTTAGCAGGGATGGAGTTAGAACAACTAAGGACGAAAGTCCAAATACTTAAGATAAAAATTTCCTATTTGGAAACACAAATTCAAAATATTTAAGATAGTCTTCGAGGAAAAAATATAGCCCTTGAGGTAGAAGTTACTTGTACCAAGTCTAGTATCCCTTCGCAGGGACTTGTGAATACTAGCGCTCTCCTCGAGGATAAAGGGAAAGAGAAGAAGGTAATAGGAATCCATTCACAGGGAATACTTAAGCCTATTACTGGTAATGAAGATACAAAAATTCCCATTAGGGAAGATATTCAAGATATCAAAAGCGAAGGAAGCTATTCATAGAGCCAAGCTCAATCTAAACTTTCTATTGAAAGAATAGATCCAAAAGATATTGTCAAGATATGCAATGAAGCAAAAATTCCCAGAAAAGATAACAATGAAGAAGTTATATTCTTTATTGTTATTTTTAATATTCTATCATATTGGTATTTGGAGATAGGAAAGTGGATGAAAACTCTCCACTATACAAAATACAACAAGATAAACTTTTATCCAAGAGCACCAGCCAACTAGGTACGAAACTGCTTTGAGATAGGAAATATACTCTGTATATATCCCAGCAAAGATCTCAAAGAAATAGTCCAACTTCCAGTCAACATCAGGAAAACTGTTAAAAGATATACTGAAGTCGTCAAGACAACAAATATATACATCAGATTCCATTCAGCAACTATGGAATGGGATCCCGTTCTTGAATATATGCATCCATCGTTCCATGTTATCAAAATGGGACTTACAAACCAACATTTTTTACCAACCAGTCAAAAGGTTGTTAAAAATGGATATCAAGATATTTTAAATATGAT